CATAGCACTTAGTGCTGAATTGATGCCGGAGGAGGGGTTCACAACTGTGGCACAAAGGCAATCCGCAGAATTGCCAAAACCAACGTGGACACAAACCAAGAAACAGCTCAAAACACCAGTGACTTGTGCAACAAATTCATTCAAGCGTTCAGCTTGCAACTGGCACACATGGACAAGGAGGATAAATTCGTTCTGGCAAACCACAGCCAACGCAGTGGCTGCGACACACGCAGGAGTTGTGCTATTGACTGGCGCTCACTGTTGACGTGACTGATGGCGTCTGAGTGCATGAGTGAGCCATCCGCATTGGTGGATGGCGTCTGAGTGCATGAGTGAGCCATCCGCATTGGTGGCAAGGCGAGGGAGCGACCCATCCAAGCATGATACACGATGCGTGTGGCATGGCATTGGCACGAGGATTGGTGCTGAGGGCTGGGAGGGGGCGATGCATGTGCATGTTTGCCGCCATTTGCCCATTGAGCATGACTAAAATGCCTTATTGCGCACAGTTTCCTTATTGCATACAATAACCCATGTGCGCTGTTGAGCAACAGAAGAATGGGAAAACAACGCCATGGCTTGGAAAACACTGTTTTGGTAGCATGTTTGCCTTAAATTGAGTACTTTTTGGAGTTAAAGACAACAATATTAGTGCAATATGTACTACTGCTGTCACTGTGAATAGTATAAGAATCTGATAGACCCAGAGCACATATATTTACCTCCGTACCAAGTAATATTGAATCTGGTACCAAAGTGCCGCTGTACAAAATAGAATTGAAACTAGCACCACATAACATTGAATCTGGTACCAAACTGCCGACGTACCAAATAAAATTGAAACTAGTACTAATACATATTGAATCTGGTACCAATTTCGCGCCGGTACCAAGAATGTTGAATGATGTCCCAAAAAAAGCTGAAACACTACCAATTAGTCGTCGAATGGCACTCTGTGACCAGCCCTCCGACCAGCATTGGGCATGCGCTTGGTTTAGGGTTTAGGGTTTATGAGCCCTTATGACGGCGGCGATTTGATGGCTGATTGGTACTGGTTCAACAATTTTTGGGACACCGTTCAACATTTTTGGTACCGGCACGAAGTTGGCACCAGATTCAATTGCACTGGTACTAGTTTCAATTTTATTTGGTACGTTGGCAGTTTGGTACCAGATTCAATGTTATTTGGTGCTAGTTTCAACTCTATTTTGTACAGCTGCACTTTGGTACCAGATTCAATATTATTTGGTAAGGAGTTAAAAAGGTTCCATAGAAGAATATAAAACCTGACTGAAGGGGTATCATCAATCACAAATGCAGAGTGGGGTGCACAACCAACGTGTTGGAGCTCAGCATGCAGAGTGCTGAATGGACCCTTATCCAAGGAAAATAGAGAATGGCTGTAACACGCTTCGAATCTGAGTCTCAGTCGACGCTTCGAGTCTGAGTCTACACAATCCACACAGATGAGGGCGCTCTGAGCAAATCTATTCATGGTCTAGCGACTGCATCGATGCTCAGATGCCTATGCCAAACAAGCATCGCAAGCTGCCTGCTTGTGTGACGAGCATTGAATCCAATCTTATGAACCAGGACTGATAATCTACTAACATGATCCATGAAATATATGTTTCGCTGCAACACCACACCTGCCACCATGATCAGGGTCTGCAGCACATTCATTAGCTGCAACGCCAGGAACATTTTCAGTTCGACCTTCTGGTAGTCCTCCACGGCCTGGGCATAGTTCCTGACCTCGTAGTCGTCGTTGTTGAAATACTTCACTGTCTCGTAGTTCAGAAATGCGTCCGTCGCCTTGAAGCCCATCTCGTTGTCCTTCAGGTTCATGAGCTTGCGCAGCTTTCGACGGAACTCCGTCAAGACGATCGTGACCGGGAGGTAGGATGCCAGCGTGACGATGATCACAACCCCGATGAAGGGCTCCACTTCGCTGGCCAAGTAGACTGTGCCGATCAGCATGTCCACCAGCTGTGCCATAAAGCAGAGTCAAGTGTGGTTGCAAACACTGTGCTGGTGTCACAGATTGGCAATGATTGCATCATAACTTCGTTATGCTTCGAAATACACTAGCGCAGTGATTTGTCCATGTTGCAAATCAAAAGGATCCTTTTCTTCTTAGCGATGGACGAATGCAAAACAAAGCAAACGGACACTGAAGTGTTTGAGACACTGAGCGAATCCAGAACCTCAGGAATATAATGCAACTGCTTTGGGGCGCTCTACAATACAGAGCAAGTTGACTTGCAAAAACTGTATCAACAGGCAAGCACTACAACATATTATGGCCCTCTTCAGCAACAACTCTATTTTGAACCAGTGTGGCAGGCATTACAGCATGCTCAACAGTGTTTACCACACAACTCAATCCCCGCCACATCCCCTGACTCACAGGCATGTTTTTCTCAGATTTACAAATATGCCATGGCATGCATGCCGCCGTCCCCATTTGCTTCAACCGGCAGCCTGTGCACCGATCACTTTCAGGTGGGTTTTCACTTGTGGGAGGGCAGGAACATGGGCGAATCCCAATCAATATGCATCAAAGCTTTGGTTGAGGTTTGCAAGAGCAGCAGGGCACCACCTTTGTGCACTTTCAAAACGTTAACAGGCAAATCACTACTGAAGCTTTTGGCTGTGTGTGCAGGGCCCCACCTGTGGTCCTATGTTGAAGATAATCGTCGACAGTATGGTCTGCATGGCTGTGGTTCCCCTATCCATCACCCGCATCACTTCCCCAGTCTTTCTGTGGAGGTGGTAGGTGAGGTCCATTTCCAGGATGTGCTTGAAGAGATCCACACTGATGCGGCGATATGCGAACTGGGTGATGGGGAAGAATAATGTCTGCCGGGCTGTAGAAATTGCGCCGCCTTGCATGCCAATGCCTGGCATGCCTGCCACGGATAATCCAATCAGGAATGCCATTCCCCAGGGGTAGAATGCCTGCACGCAGCCGCAACATACACCTGGCTGAAACTGCTGCTGCTGCAGCAAACAATGTTTGCCATGAGTTTGAGCGCTTGAATCTGCTGGTTACAAGATAGATGTTGATTCAATGTGCCAGAGACGTACAGAAAGATTTAAAGAATGTCAATGGAAGTAGCAATGGAAGCATGGCCCTGCTCTGTTTGCCAGAGTGCCAGGCACGTTGAGACTCCTTGCCTGACATTCAGTTACAATCGAGTGGTTGCTCAACCTTCAGTGAACCGATGATATCCATGGATTGCCTATATTTACCACAAATGCACCCACAAAATGACGACAGTGGGGAAGCACCATTTGTGCAGTATGTTCCCCTTCCTGTCATGAAGCCCAATTCTTGGTCGTGGAAACGCACCTCCCAGTAAGTGACGTGCTCCTGCTCCCTCTTGGCCGTTATCTCCACAAGTCTGTCCACCAAGTGCTTCAATGTGATCGGCACCACCAGCCTCAGCGCCCGTATAATGAGGAGAAGGACGATGCAGATGAACGCCCTGGCCTTCAGGAGCCAGTCTTTGGGCCACACATACACGGCCGCTGTGATGAACAGCTCAAACCAGTTTCGCTTCTTTTTGACTGCCGTCTCCTCATCAGCCGCATCCAAGAGCCAGCGTTCATCATCAGCGAGGGATCTACACGACAGCGGGCATCGATCAGCTGCAGCCAGCGCAGATCACAAGCGCCTGCTAGCCTTGGGCACTGGCGTCAAAAACTCCACAAAGCCATGAAGGTGGTCAGATCCAACCCAACGGGAGATCGCAGACAGAGGCCTTGGGAGAGGCGTCCGCGACAGCACGGGGCCAACCATCAAGTTGCAATAGCAATCTCCAACCTGCAACAAAGGTCCTCTGAAAGGCCACAGCACGCGCCCTTTTTCGTCGACCATGAATCCACATTTGGCAACAAGCCTGAGCGCATGGATCAAAGTTCTCGCGATTCTCACCATCACTGGGTCCATCCCTTTGGCCCCCGACCCACCTTTTCCTACCCGCAGCCACCACTCCCGCGGACGCCGTGGCCCCTGCTACCGCCAACCCCAGCGCCATCCAGTCCTCCCACGCCAAGCGGCCCCACTGCCCCCACTCGCGCGCCATCCACCCCGCGACGATCGCCAAATATGCCGCCGCCGCCGTCGCGCCCAGGCCGCCCATCCTCGCCGGCACCCCCGCTATCCTCGCCCCAGCAATCGATCCACAGGCCCCCAGCCAGGTGGCGCTCATCGCCAGCTGGTAGAACCACTGATAGGGCTCCAGGTGCGGCCTGGGAACGCAGAGGGCCACCAGCCATCCCGCGTGCATCGTCGCCAGGCCCGCGCAGAGTAGGAGGGCGGGATCGGGCCGCCCTGGCCTTCGCCGCGGCGAGCGCGGGCGATCGAACGCGGTGCCGCACAGGCGCCGTGCCTGGTGGTGGAGCCCCCAGGAGGAGAGGGGCAGCAGCAGGCAGGCGCCCAGGGTCTGCAGCACGCAGGGCGCCAGGCGCCACCGATCGGGCCCCCCGCCGTCCGGCGCGCACCACATCTTTGTTGCCCGGCTGGGCCACCTGGTCCGCGAGTTTTCTGCCTCTTCCGGCGGGAATCGGGGCGTGGGGGTGGGGTGGGGGTGTGCCGGAGGGCGAGAGGGGGCAAGGGGGAGGGTGTGTGTGCGCGGGGGCTTGCGGCGCCGCCGAGGGCGGGGCGTTTCCGGCGCGTGGACCTGGTCGGCCGCAGTCCCGCGGTCCAGATACAGCCGCTCCTGCCGTCCTGCCCCTGTGGCAAGTCGTTATTCCCTTTGTGGCGCATTCGTTTCATGATATTTTGCTCCATTACGAGCGTGATTGTCATGCGCGATTTTCCGGGCTTCACCGCTGTGCTGTGCACTGTGAGTAGTTGAAGGCCGCCCCGCGAGGTTCTGGCGTACCCCGACGTGACGGAGCCTTTTGGGCCAATGAGGACAGGAACCCCTTTGTGTACAAATCGCCTGCTTGGCGTCTCTCGAGCTTTTCGTGTTACTATGCCCGAGGCAAAAATAGCAATGTGCAGCACCAGTACTAACTGGTGCTGTACCGTACTAGCTCACCCATGGGCGCAGCGACGCGACGTGTTCTGTTCTTGCAGGTGGAAACAAAATGCAAAAGCGACGCTCACGCGCCACGACTTCGAGAAAAGAAATCAATCCGAAAAGGCTCCTTGATGGCGCACCGTAGCTCATGACGACTTGTGACGTCACACCACAGAGTCTGACGTCTTTATGCAGCGATGCTCAGGCGTCAGACCACCTTTGTTGGCTCAACACAAAGCTCGACGACTTTTTTGGAGCTGCACGACAACGCCTGACGACTTTACTCGGTAGGCCATGGGTGGGGGACAACCTGCGGTGTTGTGCCAGATGGGTGCTTGACGTCTTTGGGGGCGGACCGTGGGCGCTGGACACCTTTGGATGGCGCACCATGGGAGCGGGACGAATTTGGGTGCCACGCCATGAAGGCTTGAATCCTTCGGGAGATCTCGAAGTTCGGTGTCGAGACAAGGGAATCGTTTTCAGCAGTCGCCAAGAACAGCTGCAACCACGTTGGTCTAATAAAAACTCAGGAAGAGAAGCCTATGTCAGTGCTGTCCGCTGCCCAGCCCTTTCACACGCAAAGAAGCTGCGTTGCAACTCCAATCCGCCAGGCGATCGGGCGTTGGCAACGCCCTTGCCCCTCAGCGCAGATATCGCATCCAGGGTCATGCAAGGCTGCACACATACGGCGGGGAGAAGCTCGCATGCCCCCACGCAACCATCGCACGCAGGGACACGGCGCGCATAGCGCATGGCCATGCACGCATGACAACAGACTTCAAATTTCGGAGAAATCCCAATGGCACAGGCTGCAAACTAGCAAATGATGCAATCTCCTATATTGGTTTTCTATTCAATGAGCCCGCCACAGAAACCGGTGCACATGCAGAATCACAAGATCCACGCTCAGACACCTGCGACCGGACCCTCCTTTTCGAGCATCAAAACGAACACGTCGCCTCTAAATTCCATCCACCGGCCCAGTACGTCTCGTTCACGCACCCTGCACCCGACACCGCATCCTCAAATTAGCCAGGCTCACATGCTCACCCTCTGGCACACAGCCACCCACGCGCACCGCTGCTCCTCGAGGCAACCTCAACTCCCATCACCAGCACCCTCCCCTGCCCCCTCTTGCGCCTGGCCCCCCCCGGCATCGGGCCTGTTTTCCTCCTTCCCCGCACCGCTGCCATCCGCTGCCGGCTCCTCCATTTCCACGTCCACCCAAACGGGCAGCGGCACGGCCCCCTCGCACCTCCCCAGGCGCAGGTTGTTGAAGACCAGCTCTCGAACGCCGGGCGGGCAGCTGCTGGCTGGGAAGACGTCAGAATCCAGGGCGCCGACGATCGGGGCGCACTCGACGGCGTACTTGCGGCAAAAGGACGCCAGGCGGGTGGTGAGGAGCTTGGCGACGGCGCCGGGGTCGCCCGCGGCTTCGTCCATCTGCGCGTCGCTGGCCAGGATGCTCGCGAAGCGGCGGTACACCTGGGGACTCGAACGATTAATGGATCACTGCCATTGCATATTCAACCCATCGGCAAAGTGACGTAACGCTTGGCCTTCCCTTGCAGAGGAAAATTAACGAACAGTAACGCAAAATTTGGTCTTTTTGGCGGAGCAGCGTGAAAAAAATAAATCTCTGAAAAACCAATGTGGAGCGAAAAGCGTTACAATTTTCTGATGCGGAAGGGTTGAACATTTTGCGGTACAGGAGGAGTGAGGAACATCAGGAAATCACCGGCGGAAGACGGGGACAGACCTGGGAAGCCACAGGAATTTACACCCCGCAATACTTTCTATTTTGTAATGATTACGGGTGCGCAACATGTTTTACCCCTTCTTGCTCTTGGGCAGCTGGAAATGTGATAATGATACAACTATCGAAGCATGAAGCAAACGCATCCGAGAACTCTGCCCCGCATTACCAGCTGAATAGGCAATGCTCCGTTTGTCGACCCAACATAAACGCATTACCGACCATCCTTCACCCAGGTTGAAGGGTGAAACCAAGGAACTCAATACAGTGCTGCATGCGTGCTGTGTCCCGCGTCTCGGAGCCTGTCCACAGGCTACCAATACATACATGCACAGAATGAGCCAAAAATAGGGCACCACCGTTGTACATTGAACGGACTGATGCATGGATTCGGTACATTGTCTGTCGCCACAACGACGTGCGAATTGCTACGCAGAACCAGAAATGTGAGTCGCTTGGGGCATCGGCCATAAGTTGGGAAACAACATCTAATATTCAACAAATGTGTAAGCCACGGCGGCACATTCCATTCTCCAATCTCATCCCGTCCGTTGACGCCATGGCAGTTTGACAGACGGCGAATAGGAGCTGCCAAGATTCCCAACGCCCCCGCAGCCCACCTGCAAGAGGAGTTGTTCCTGACGCGTCTTTGCCACTTGAAGCGCGACCTTCTGGTCATCCAGCTCGTTCTTGGCATTTTCAACTTCTTCGTGAGCGTCTCTCTCGGCATTTCCCCCCGAGGCTATTCGATCAAGCAGGGCGTCGGCATCTTCGTCTCCCTGCTCCACCTTCTTGGCCGCCTCGGCGGCAACCAAAGCAGCCCTTTCAGCCGCACACTGTTGGGACAGCACATACCGTTGAGATGTGAGGTATCATCAATTCTATCGCCTATGGTGGTGCATCAGTGTGTAGCCCAATTTTGCCTGGAGGTGAATGGGTACTATTTCACCCTGGAAAATCAAGGTGGATCGCTACACATTTGAAGCGCATGGGCAGTCGTTTTCGTCTGCTGTTCAGCTATCAAGAACAATCCATGCCAGCAAGGGACCCGTAACAGGTTGAATCGATTGCCCCTTTGCGCCGCAATTCGAAGAATGTGGCTGTGAAAAGAACATTGAATCAAGTGAACAGCGACACAAAGTTACCGTCACACCACCAACACATGGCAGCTTTAACCTGCAACTGCAAATTGGGCCAAACATTTCCCGTGCAATGAAAATCAATGACGAACAAAATCATCACTAAAGCAAAAATTTAGCAGAGATTTCATTTGGCTATGAACTGCAAGATACACTCAGACAATATGGTAAGCTGAATTGAGTTTATTTGTGCTTAAAATGGACAACTGCATACATGTTTGCACGAAGCATGGGGCATGGGGCATCACGCAATGCGATATTCTCCAAAGGCCCACACTTCAAAGCTCTGCAGCTCCACAGATTGCTTATTGGAACATCACAACAGCAATATGTCGGAAAGCAGCATTGCACAATCAGCACCATGAAGAAATTCAATGGGGCCCTACAGCAAGCCGGCCATGCTTTGCTCAAACGCGCATCATCATAACCAAAGTATGGTGCACTACCACCGCAAACCACAGCGATTGGCCATACATTCGCTACGGTGAGGCACCGAACAGACTGTGCTACGTTAAGCTTTCCTGACTCTGGCCTTGATAGTCTGCAACAGTGCCAGGCTCCTTTGGGGGTGAGAGACCAGTTTGTGGTTACACACGTGCTTCATCGGCATGGTATGAATAAGCATAAGACATTTAGGGGCTTGACATCATTCCAATCGAATAAACACCAAACAATCCATTCCTGACGCTTGCACCAGTGTTTTGCAATGCAAGCAACAAGGACACAATCTATCCTGCAACCAATGCACAACCATGCTGCACAACATACAGAACTGTATGTGAATTGCTAGGATCTATGGTGATGTTATATGGACCGTCAACTCATTCCCCACCTCTGCATCCTTGATAGCCATCTCCACTTTGTGCATGGCTGCCGCCATCTCCAAGCGGTGGAGTATCACGCCATCCAGCGTCTGGTGCAGCACCTCCCAACCCTTGTGCACCTGATACCCCTCCAGACTGCACAGCACCCCTGCCGGCGAGAACACCCACCCCACCACCTCTTCCTCGGATATGAGGCCCACCCGCACGAGGCGGTCCAGCACCATGCAGCTGCGCTGGGCTGAGTTTTGCCAAACATCCATGCAGGCCTCAACGACGGCTTCGCGCCCGGCTGCGCCCGACTGCCCGACGAAGTGCTGAAGCAAAGGGAGATAGCGCTCCAAGGTGTTCCTGGTATGGGACGTGGACTTGTGGCCAGCGATGAGTATACCGCGGACAAGCACCTGGTGTGAAGATGGCTTGGTTGTTCAGTGCATGAGCGCACAACTTGTGTCGCAACAGTCAGCAGGAGATGTGATGATGACAACTGATGCACGTTATGTCGCATGCTCTTGAACGCCCAGCAAACATGTCTGCAAGAACTTCAGCAGATGCGATGAGGTTCAAGGTTACAGCGTCTGCGTCGTGTTTAAATCTGTACACATCATGGGCAACTCAAAAGAAAGTGCTTGTGAGTGCATCAGTTGCCTGTGTTTGCGAATATTTGGGCATGGAGTCAAGGAGTGACAATTTGCACGTGCCCGAGCACATCTCTGGTCGCCTTCCCAAGGTGGAAAAGGGCCTCAATCCCTTTCCTGGGACGCCCGAGGTCAGCACAACAATGCTCCCTTTCCTTCTGTCACAAGCTCACTCACCTTCACGACACCAGGCACCCCACCTAGGGCTTCGTCCATGCTGGCATCCTCCACCCACGACTTCACCTCCTCCCAGTGAGTCTTCTGCTCTGCGTACTTCCTCAACTCCTGCTCCCACTTCCCAGTGAGTTCGTTCTCCTGGTGCCCACTCTCCCCCTTGCCATCCCCAGCCTCTCCATTCCCGCCCTGCATGACCCCCTGATCCGCTTCCTCCATCGGCACATCGTTGGCTGCATCGGCCTGTTGCTGGCCTGTGGCGTCGCGTGATGGCAAGGCCTCGGCGTCGACAGCAGGCAGGTCAGAGGCAGGTGTGGAGGTCTTGCTGAGCAGGGATTTCGGCAAGGGGTATGGGGGGAGCAATGTGTGGAATTCCTCAGGGAGGCTCTGTGCCCAATGCAATACTCCCTCAGACCTTGGTCCGGAGTGCATGGCCAAGTATTGGATCAAACAGGGGAAAAATATCTAGGAAACAAATTGGAAACAAAGGTGACACTGGAATGCAGGCAGGGGCATAAGATACAACTCGTCAAGTTCTGGAGCAAGCAGAGGCACCCATAAGATACATCTTGCTAAGTGCTGGACGCTCACAACATCACCTCACAGGCGAAAGGGGGGTGACTTCGCACATTTTTAATTTTGTGAACATTGTACATAATTTGACACGAGTCAGATCAAACACAATCGGCGAGAATCTACGACTAGCACTTTCGATCGCACCTTTTTGACAAAGTCAAGCCATGAGATGCGGGTGAGTTTGCTGATGACCAGCTCCAGGAAGCGCCTCTGCGGGTCCTCTGGTGGGGCCTGGGCAAATCTCTTCCACTTCTCCCAGGGCCAGGTGAACTGCAGGTTGGACAGGTGGAAAGCCAGCCACTCTGCCAAACGGTCACGGAGCTCGGGGTCCATCACCCCCACCCTGGTGAACAATTCTCTGACACAGCCACTCAAGCCGCGCGGAAATGAATCCATGGTCTGCGTCAGTTTGTTGCGATGTTAGACCATTGTGGATGGTAGGGGGCAGCACATAGCATGAGAAGGCAGAGGACGATCACTCGCTGTTGAGGAGCAAAGGTGGATGCTCACCTTTCACTCTTCATTGTTTCTTGGCGACTGGACTTGTGAGCTCCAAGTGGATTAATTTAGGTACAGGATACACAGTGCAGATAGCAAAATTGAAACTCGTGACATTCAGCTTTCCCTTTTTCCACATTTGGCCATTGAGAACGAGATGCTGTGTTGATAATGCAGCACAGAGGAAGTTCATGTCTGAATGAATGGCCGATGAACATTTGAGAGGGCAAAGGGACTGCACTAGTGTATTGGACAGACTAGTGAGCCAAGCCTGGAGCTCAACACTTGAAGCAATGCTTGGAATACAATTTGGCAACGGATCTACCTACTGCCATGACTGTGCCGATTGTGTAATTAAACAATTCAGCTGAGTCGCCCATCTCAATTGACTGGCATATCCAATCTGCAACAAATTTTGCAACTTTCCATAATCTTTTTGTTGGCTGGCATAGTGGTCAGGAACGGAATGGGTTCCCAAGGTGAGAACTACAGACAGCAATGGAACAACAGCCTCAGATGAATTCTTGCATCAGGTGGGTGGGGTGCCCACTGAAAGAGATTGTCCCTTTCTGCTCATTCGAGGAGGGAGAACAGTGCAACAAGTTCGTGATGGTGCATCGCAAAACACAGTTGTCATTTGTCAACACAGGTGGGGTACCCGCTGAAAGAGTTTGTCCCTTCCTGCTCATTCAAGAATGGGGAACAGGGCAACAAGTTCGCGATGGTGCATCGCAAATCACAGTTGTCATTTGTCAACTAATGTGGGACAACATGGAGGTGTCCTACCCGGCAGAGAGTCACGATGATAGCTGTGTATGCGATCGGCTTCAACACTGGCTTGGGGAGCATCAGCATCTGGGAGAAGATGGTCTCAGCGATGAGGGCGAAGACTGGGAAAGGCTGGGGTATGGCAGTCAGCAGGTAATGGGTGCAAGTGGCCCTGGACAGTGGGGTAGGGGCAACAGCTTATTTGAACTCTGCAATTGTCACACTGCCAAAGATGCGAAAATGCACTGCCCTGCCACTAAACAGGCACTGCTGGGCAGAACGCCTCAGTTCTTCTGCACATGGGCGCCAAAAGGCAAGCTGCTAGGAATGCTCTGCAAAGTCACAAACCTGGGCAGTGTTAAACAAACAGCACGAAACAGCCATGCAACAGAATGAAAGCACATGCCATTAGCAGCTGAATCAGCAGATCCAGCACATCTCTCTGCACTCAGAACGGTTCCCTACTATTACAGATAGGCCAAAGCCCCAAGACGCATGGGCAGTCCCCAGCGCTGCTATTCTGCTGAAAATAGAGGGGAAGCCAAAATTTAACAGCAGCAACATATTCATATCAGTGCCACAGTACATTCATGTCCCAAATCAACTTACAGCACCACTTCCCCCAGCACCACAACTGGCGGTGACTGCTGCTGTGTCTGTTCGCATAAAACATCGGCTGAGTAAGGAATGCATTGTAAACTGTTATGCACTGTAATTCATTCCATCTGATTTCATGACATTCCATAATACTTGCTGTGTTACTGCACGATGCTGTACAATTCCATAGCTCAGCACCACCCAAATCCATCATTCCAGTCCACAAGCAAGCGAACAACCGCAAAGACCTGCCTGTCCTCGTGGAAAATGTTCAGCGTATCCAGGATGTATTCCTCAAGGATGATCCTCTCAATCCCAGGAAGGTCCCCTTCCGTGTGCTGTGGTGCCAACAACCTCACCCCACCACGAGGTGGGAAGCGCACATTCATGTCCGCAGCCGCCTCAGTGACTGAGTTGGGTCCGATTGGGCCCTTGGGCATTGTCAATTTCGGGAGTTGGATGGGCTGGCCAGCTGCCAACTGCATTGCACAGTCAAATTTTAGACTGGCCATTTTGTTTGCCATACTACTACAATTCTTCTGTCTGCTTTATTCTTAATATTGTTAGTTTCAATGACACAACTATCACCATTTTGTTTATAATGTTATACTTTTTCTGCATTAAATCAACGATCACATTCATCTATTGGGGGATTTACATCCAATATGCATACCTGCACCACAGCTGAGGGCGCCCCAAGACACATTGGAACAGGACACCGACATCGCCCAGTTGAAGTTCAACACTAAGCTGCAATCCAGCAGATCACACAAGCCATTTTGCAACGTCACAATGACTCCAGTCCTGAACTTGCATCCAGGAAGCCTTTGCAAACACGGCACACTTGAATCAATGCACTTGATATCCCGTGCCACAAGATCTCACCTTGAGATCTACCCCTTCTGACATCCGCATTATTGTTCGGCACTTCCATTGGGAGCTGTTCTTCAATTCCTGGATGGATGTCCACAACACTCCTAAGAAGCTCGCACCACCGCTGTCACTCCTGGAGCAACAAGACAACTGAGAAAATGAACGTGTTCACGGCCACATCCTACCCCGACAGCAACACTGCCAACTCATGAACCCAACACATGGTAATCAAACGGTAGGGATGTGAGCCCCAAGCTGTTGGACTGAAACATCGCATTGACAAAAGCATGGCTCTGGCTATGCTCAACTCCTGCCAGATTGCACACCAGCAACAATAGGGCTCCACAGCTTCCAATCAGACAACTGCCCCTATTGACTTCATTCCAAAAGGATTACTTGCACAGTGCCGAGCGGCAAGCACGTTGTGACGAATGCACACACTCCACCACATTAGCATGACCACGTCCTCCTTGTTGCTGGAGCACTTGCGCTTCAAAAAATCCCGTGCAAACAACAAGAATGTTGCAATCAAGAGCAAGTGCACTGTGTGGTGTATGCATGCAGGTGGGCAGTGTTCCACGTAACTTGTGAAATGGAGTAGCTCCACACAAGAGAATGGCATGTACAACGGGAATCGTGGTCGGTTAGTCTGACTTTCCAGGGATGGCATATTTTTTGCACTTGGTAACCTTATGCCCATGCCAACACACTACTCAAGTTCAAAAGACCAACCTGCAATCCCCTTCTCACTGTTGCACCCTCTTTATCTTCTTTGGGCATCTTCTTCTATCTTATTTGTTTTCAGCAGTTCTGAGATTCAGATTTTAAATCCAAAACATTACTGTGACGCATAATCACCCAACATATGCTGGATGTTGCCTGAAACACTAAAAAGGCAATAACCACAGTATACTGCCTCTGTCCTAGCATCGAACGAACAGAGGTCATATCCTGTCCTCAGAAAAATCTAGAAACGTTGATACATGAAGAATCTTGTTCTGCGGAGGACTGAACCTGTGGTAGCGATCAGGCTCTGTATTAATGCAGTCCCATACTGGTGCACAACATGGGAAGCAAAACGATGCCCAAAAAGACAGAACAAAGGCCAAGCCAACTAACTGCTGCCATGTTCCAAGGTTCCACTTCTGGGTTCCAAGGTGGCCCACCTGGCTGCCAAGTCATTCGCCTTCACTGCGCCATTGAAAGGTCTCAGGGCGGGGTCGTTGGACAGTGGCCGCACTTCCATGTACTTCCCAACCTTGCGGAGCACACAAACACTGTGGATGGAATGATGCAGCCTGCAACAACAGCATGTTCGCACATGCAAAGAAAGGAGAAACGGTCTCTCTGCATGTTGCCAGAACCCACATTGTAGATGGACCTGTACCCAACAGGTGACGGGGGGCATGTCTGTCACATGTTTCAAATGCCAGCAACACAGATTTTCGACACTACCCCTTTCAATTCCTTTGCAGTAAACTTCTGTATCCTGCATTTCTCGCCTACCGCTGCAGTCCAACAATTTGAGAATGCTCATCTGCAATCTGTGCAGACCCTCCCCTCAGAAATTTCTCCATGAACTTCTCCAACACGGTAAATGGAATTAAAGATCAACACACCTTGTCCAACAGCTCCTCCACCTCTGCTGGGGCACTCTCTGCCAGCTCGATCCCGCCCCACGGCAGTGCCATAAGGACTATGTACACAAGGTAATCGCTCCAGGGCTGCCAAGAGCGGCCCGAAGGGTCCCCCTTGCCTGTCTCCTTGGCACAGGTCAGGGCAGCATCCACCAGCAAGCCCAACAGCTCCACTATGGAGGACGGCGCAACCACGTTGGAGACAGTGAGGGCCACAAGCAGGCGCAGCAGCATCCGCGCTTTGGACCACTCACAGGCCTCCAGTGCAGAGCTGAACTGCTCATTGGCGTGCTCCACCAGGGACTGGACGAACTCGGATTCGTCGGCGTTCAGGAGGCCTGTGGGGATGGGAGATGTGCCATCAGCCAGTATGGTGAAGGTAGTGTCTTGTGCAAACAGCCAGGGTGGCACCATGACAAAACACTGCAGAATGGGTCCATTTCTCTGGACAAGATTTGTGATGTTAGGCTCTTTCACATGCTGCTGATCATGATGGAAACATGTTTGAATGTGAGTGCCAAGCAACAAAGGGTAGCAAGGAAGCACACACACACACACACACACACACACACACAGAGGCAAAGGAACACCCAAAGGGCTTGCAATTTACCTTGCTTGGGTGCACAGGAACATTTGATTACAATGAGAAAACAGGTTGTATGTTGGCACAGAATCTTCCAAAACCAAACTTGTGGCACCCTCATCCACGTTGAAAAGGATTCTTTGGACACTCTCTGGTCCAGTAGGGGATGCACACTGATGGGTGCGGGATGGGGGCGTGAAAGGATGGAGCAGTGATGGACTTGAAGGGCTCATACAGTCAGGGATGAACGTCAAAATCCATCTTCAGCATAACAAGCAACAGGCAACACGTTCAATCGGAATGGGCCACATGACCACATGCGCTGTTGTCCACAGCCAGTGGTTGATGATAAAACCGGGAATGGCTGGGAAAGACTGCCCATACCTATCAGAGTTGCATACTGTGGCGTCTTGGTTGATAGCTCCACTGCACAATCAAGCAGGACAGACTTAACCTGAAGCATCCACAACAAACTCCTCAAGATGACGCCAAAGATCCCCAATTCTTAGCATGCCAAAAAACAGCACCCATTGACCGCACAATTCTTCTTCGGATTTTCGGGTTTGAGGTTGATGAGAAGCCAAGGCACAGGGCGCACCTCTGCATATATCGTTTTGCTTTCTCGAAATGAATGATCAATTATATTCGGCCTGGCCTGAGGTTACCCGATTAGGAATGCAACGAACATCAGTTTGGATCACACTGACCAGTTCCGGGTTGATTCTCAGCTCTCGCTGTATCCTTGGCACAAAATCTTCTATCTGCGTCTCAAAGGGAGCATCCTCTTCGGTCCCCTGCGCACGCCAATCTTCCATCAGCAATCCGCACCTCCCGAGATCTGCAGCAAACAGACACAGACGAAAGGCATTCTCCCTGGGCAAGCGATTGGCTGGTTCTTGTCTTTGAAACCTCCGCGCTGTGCGCCCCAATTGCCAAGCGACAAGCCCAACCGCACAAAGCAATGCAGCGACCTGCCCAAATTCAAACCCAATGCAGTGATCTGCCCAAATTCAAACCCAACGCGTCCAGAGAACGACACGGCACGGAGTCAACACGACGGCATCCAAGCCACCCAAAGCCCCACGCCCCCCACCCACCCATCCACCCCCTACCAACTAAAGGCACACTCGAAACACACCCAACAGCCCTCCCACTTTTGCATGCGCCGTTCGGCCCCTCGTCTTCCACCTTCCCCACCCCCCCTTCCGATGATCATCCTCTGTTCCCCAAGCAACGTCGGAGACGTCAATCCATCCCATTGCCCGCGATTGATACGAGTCCCACGGACACCCGCCCGCCCCGCCACCCCCCGGCCTCCCGGCCGCCCCTCCCCCCACCCCACCGGGTCAGCCAACTTCATGAGGGCCTTCACGAACAGCTGCTCCGGCGTCTCCGGCCTCTCGTGGCCCCGCTTTCTGACCCGGCCCCTGCCGGGTCGGGGTCGCAGGACCGGCGGCGGCCCTCCGGGGCGCCTCTGGCCGTACTGGGGGTCCAGCTGCTGCATGGTGGTCGCGGTCAGGGCCCAGGCGCTCCCGGCGCCCGCGGCAAAAAGCCGTGTCCGTGTCCAGGCAGGCACGTTCTGTGCTCTGGTGAATGTGCCACAATGGGTGAATTTCTTTCTCGCGAAGCAGTGTTTTTCTTGTGCTTCTTGTTCTTTTTTGTCATTTTCTGCCCGAAATATTTCAGTGCCAACTGCCTTCGAGTTTATCGTCTCGGGTTCGGTCTTTGCCGCTGTCGCGCGAGGGCGCCTGGCGCGGCACATGTCGCTCGGCAAGCGTGGGAGGATCGCCGTCTTTTGGCCACCAACTTGGCTGTGAACTTCGTTCAGAGCAGCCTCAACACAACAGGTCGTCGCTTTCCCCTTGGTGGCACGGGCGCGTCAACTCAACTCAAGCAATGTGGTCTCCAGAGCCGTAAATCGCATCAGTGCCAGGCAAACGAAAGAAGAATCGTTACTCGCATTGGCCGCCCCTCCCAGCAAAACTGCTTGTAACATTGTGTGCTCGTTCGCAAGAGGATGTGGCGGTTTCGGAATGGAGAGGGGGCAGGAGAGACAATGGCGCCGCGCTGCGCCCTTTCTGCCAACATGCCCAAACAGCGCAAAAGAGGAGGAAAGGAGGAAAAACCGGTGAAAATGCCGTAGGGGTGAGTTGTAGGTGTAGTTAGCGAGCCCTGGTCATGTAAGATGGCGGAAGGAACCCGGACGGTGGATTCGCTCCGAGAGGCGCCCAAACCGGGTTGGATCGCGGTGGTTGGGGTCGCGCCCGCACCGCCGCGGTTCCGAAACCGCCTGTCCCCACTCGGCGCGTCCCTTGGCCGCCCGCGGGCACCCAATCTGGAACCAGGCCGGGCGCGGCCGCGCGTCAGACGCAATGGTGCTGGGGGCGGTCCTGGGTGCCGGCATTGGTCTCGTCGGCGGTGTGGGGGTGAGTCCACCCCCCCTCCCTGCCCCCCCCCATCGGCGCCACCCATCGCCGATCCGGCTTCGAATCCCCGCCGCAGAGCGTCCGTGCCAATCTGCCGTCATCGGCGACCAGGCTTGCGATCTCGCCCGATCGTCCGCGGCATCCGCCTCAGCGGGTTTTTCAACGCGGCCCCGCGGTCGCTCCGCCGGGAGGGCCTACTTGCAGCCTCGCGCGCCTCAGATAGGATGGGAGGGCGCCGCCTGACGCGCCTTTTGCGCCCGCGGTGCGCCCAGGTCGGTTCCTTGCTGTTCGGCAACACCGACTCAAAGTCGTACAGCCACCTGGACGAGCGGGCGGACCGCGATGACAACGTGGCGGAGGCCGTGCCGCGCGGCCCCATACGGAAGGACATGCGGCAGGTGCTGGAGCTGTCGCCGGCGTGGACCAAGTGGCCGGACTACGAGCGGGTGAGTGTGTGGCTGGGTGGGAGGGGGAATGGGGCCAATCCACTTGGGCATCTGCCGACCCCCGCGTCACGGCGGGGCCAACCTCGATGGCCGCCCCGCGATCGCGCCCACGCGGGCGTTTTGGAACAGGTCGAGTTGGGTGACGGGGGATGGATTGGGTTGTTGACTGGGCGTGGGCGGGCGGACCCAGGGGCCGGGGGGGAAGGGGTGGGCGGGGAATGGCGGTCGTTGGGGTGGGGTGCCGGATCTTTTCATTCGGAAACTGGGTTGCCAGCGGGGCTGTCTTCGACGGCGGGGGTGCCACGCGAGGGACGCTGGAGGATAGGGACTGGGCCTGGCGGTGTGCTTTTTTTGTCGAAAATAGGCGCATTGCGCCTGCCGGCGGTGGCCAGTGGTGGGTTCCATTCATTGGAGGGTTCGATCCCTGCATGGGCGGGCGTTCGTCCACCTGTTTATCCTCGGTTTTCTTTCTGGGGATGTGCACTGTGGGCGTTTCAACTGCTGCGCCGCAGAAGATGACGACTTCTTTGGAAGCAGGCGTTGTGATTAGGGATGTGAGAAGGAGTTTGGCCTGTCGCTCACTCTAAGACTGTGCTGGTATGGGCTCTTTGTGACGCCTGTTGGGTCGTTCTGGGAAGGAGGAGACAACGCTGCGCGCAATCGGCAAATGGGAAAGCGAAAGAACTCCAGACAGGCTGGGTTCCTGACGTCTGACCCTTGGTCCACTCATGATGCAACCACGCAATCTTTACAACAGACTTCAGCAGTTTTCAACTTACAACACTGGCTGCTAAGATAACGAATTTTGTAGAAGTTGCGTGTATCAGCCACCCTTGTGCTTTGAAAGTGCCACAGCGAGTGCATTCATCGTATGTTTTCTGTCAGATTGTGCCTGACTTTCAAGCAGGAAAGGACGCTGTGACTCGATGACCAGCCTCATCTTGAGTAAAGCCATGATGCTGTGTCTCATATGGGAAAACATGTATTATGTCTAAGTCTCAGATTGCAACACACAATGCACGCAGTACACAATGACACGAATGGCGGCAAGTGCAAACCGAATTTTGAATTTGTGCCAACGCCTCTTGTATGTATGGCTCTGGTTGTGTGGCTTTCACTGTTGTTAACAGATGTGAGCCTGTATTTTCCAGGTGGCCTGGGTCAACCGAATGATTGCAACACTGTGGCCCCACTATGACAGAGCAATCGCACAAATCGTGGACGAGACAGTGACCCCTGTATTAGCTGAGGTTGCAAAGGGAGTAAGTGTATGATTTGGTCCTGTATAAGGCTTTGATGATGGATGTGATGCAGCCTCATCGAAGTCACAACTGTGTGCAGAGCAAACTGCTGAGTGGATGGGACTGTTCTATTGTTCATTCCACCTAAACGCCAGGCTTGTGTACAACATAACGTAGTCTGTTAAGCATTGGACCAATGATGTAATGCTCGGCCCCTTTTACGGAACAGCAGAAAGAACACAACACCATGCAACAATATTCTGCTGTGCATGGAAGGAAAATCACAACAACCAGTGGCTTGGCGTCCACATCCCACCCAGGCCATGCTCTTGCAGTGTGAACACGGGTAGGTGGTGGGCTTGTTGGGAGGCCAGGGACACAGTTTTTAGAGCCCAGAAGATTGTTGCCCAAGTAACTGCGGCTTTCACATTCCTCCCCTCAAGGCCCATCGCCCTAATGGATCGCAAAGAGTGGTGTGGCTTTTCTGGTGAGCAGAACATGTGGGAATACCCAACAGAACTGTGCGTCTACCAGGCGAAAACAGTGCATCAATACACAGAAAGTGCAGACTGCAACTTGCCAGCCCTCCACCGTCCATCCCCTTTCCAACAGTGTCTGCCAGCACTCATGGCTGGCTGCTCCCACCCAACGCCACCAATTTAACATGACCTAAAGCATGATGAAAAGAATGGATTGGTGCTGATACTCGAGGCCAATGTGTTCCTTCCTCAGGGCTTCTCCAATGGAGGTGCTAAGTGAACAAGAACCTCAAACCACAGACTCAGCCATTGCGATCATACAAGAGCAGCCATTGTGCCCAAATCAGCGGATAAGTGCATGGTACTGTATGAATGCAAACGCATCATAGGAGGGATGGGGAGTTCACTGAATTTGTTGTCCATTGTTGTGCCCCATTGCACTGCACATGTTTGTCGTTGGGGAGTGCTGGCCTTGGTGAAACTACAGCACCTGAATTCTGGTGCTCTCCTTTGTGCAGATCAAATTCGTGGACTCCATTGATATTGAGAGAATGGATCTTGGAAGCAAGCCATTGAAGATTGGGGGTTTCAAGACATATGAAACGAGAGAGGACGAAGTCATTATGGAGGCGCCTTTGCTGTGGGGAAGCAATGCGAATGTAAGATCCACATGTATTGTTCTCGTACTTTGATTTGCAGCGACAGTCTCCAAGTCGAATGTGTTACTGGAATGGGGCACCAGCACAGCCATTCAGTGTCCAAACAGTTCTGCACCATGGCACAAACTACCTAGCTCATATATCTGTCTGTGTCTGAAAGTGGCTGAACGTCATTTAAAGGTGGTTTTAAGGCAGAAGGCTGTTGTGGAAAATGGAATATCTTGTTTCAAGGACACTGTTGTTGGCCTTTATTGCGTGCAGCAAGAATGCATTGCTGTACACAACAATGTTGATCTGCTGTCCACAGAGAATCTGACGGGTTCTGCTATGTTGGCACCAGTGCAATGCGGCAGCCAAACTCTAAGCACGCACCTGCTATCCCAGCTCTTTGCACCAGCTCCAGTCACCAGGTGTTTCCCCTTGCCAGCAGTGGTGTGCCCAACTTCTGGGTGAGGCAAAAGAACAGGCTTTCTGCAACAAAAATGGCAGATGAAATTTAGCTTGCCCCAACCCCCCCCTTCCCCCCCCCCCCAACCCTTGTGTGCAATTTCTGGTGCCATGCATGTCGCACAATCTTGTGTGTTTTAATCTAGTTTTGGAGACTCCTGTGTCGTTATTCGAAACAGAATGCAGAACAAAGTCGCGCTGTCCCTTCCATTGGAGGGATTTGCCCATATGTGTGACACGTTTCTCATGTTCCAGCATATCTTGCGGGGTGGGGGGTGGGGGGTGGGGGTGGGGGGGGGGTTTGCAACGTGGCCTTTAAAAAATATACAATCCATGCACTGTTGCCTTTTGTTATATGCATTCACTGGATTGAGAGTTTGTTTCTGCTGCCCTGCACCAGATCCGCGTGTCTGCGCGTATCAAGCTGGGACCAATCGCGATCTACGTCCCGGTTGTGGTCCAAAACATCCAGTTGCACGCTGTTGCGCGGATCACTATTCGCCCCCTGGTCGAGACTCTCCCCTGCTTGGGTGCTGTCCACGTATCTCTGCTCAACCCCCCACACCTGGACATGACCCTGAAGCTGATTAACAATATCGACCTGATGGCGCTGCCAGGGGTCAAAGAGCTGGTGAATGGGATCGCTCAGGTACGGTGCGCAGCAACAGTGGCACTCCCCTGGATTTAATGTGTTTGTCCCCATTCCCTCGTGCATTCTCGGATTCTGTGGTTCATTGCAGTACGAGATCGAGAATGGCCATTTTCTGCTGGGCCGGGCATGGGGACCACACATGAGTGCACTGTGAACCTTGCACAACGAAAATATGAGGGCCACCAGCTTTGTAGAATGCAGTTAGGAGGAGCTGTGTCAAGGCTGGTGAGCCTATAGAGTACTGAGTGTGTGGCAAATGACAGGGCATGCAATGGTGTTGCCCTCAACAGGGAATCCAAAATTTATATCAGGCAGGCGAACTTAAGAATGACGATTTAAACTTTGAGGTCAAAGCCAGCTGTCCTTAGGTCCCCAAATGGCGTCCTTTTGAATGGTTTTAATACAAGGTTTTGGACCATCGTGAGTTTTTTTTGTGCAAGGCTCCCAGTATGTGCCTCATTTTCTCTATTTTCTGCTCATGATACTTCAGTGCAGTGCACCCACTGTTTGGTTCTCCCCCAGTGTGAGTTGTCCTCTGTGTGCTGGACAGTGGTCGCATTCCACTATCAAAAAAATTGAACAGCCAACATGCTGTTACTCAAGAACAAATGTCTTGCAAGCACAGATATTTGGTGCATCATTTGGTTCAATTTAGAATTTTAGCTGTGCAGCCATACAGGTACAGGAAGAGCGATCAACAGTAGCTTCCATCCCTTTCACGTTCAATCCATCACACTTTCCAATTGTGTGATGCTGCATCATCAAATTGACACGTTCCCATTTCATCAAAAAGACCGTTTTCAACGCCACAGCATCAACAGCAGCCAGCCTTGCAAGGACTTCTCAATTAATTTTTCCTTGTGTGGTGCAGTCTGTCATCGGCAACATGATGCTCTATCCCAACCAGTTCTCAGTCGATCTGATGGAGGGTGGTGGTCTTCCACCTCCACCCACAGGAATGCTTCAGGTGGAGCTCAAGAAGGTTGAAGGGCTAAAGAACCAGGACCTCCTTAGCAAGAATGACACTTACGTCATGATCACGGTGAGGCAGGCTGGTTTGGCTCTTCTCTTGCAGTTGCAACTTTCGTGGATTGCCGATGACAGAAAAAACATGACAGTCACAGCCCGGGCACCTGATTGGCTCTTGCCTGAACCTGAAACTGAGTCCTGGCAGTTGAGGGACTGAGGTGACATGTCAGGTGAGGGAGGGAAGACCACAACGGAGCAAGACCGTGAAGGGGACCTCTGTGACGTTTGATGATGACCCTTTCCACTTCATTGTGGACGATCCCGAAACCCAGTCATTGACCTTCCGGGTTTATGATGATGATTTTGGGTGGTCAGACCACTGCCTTGGCATTGCGGATGTGCCATTGGAGTCTGCATGCTTCATGGAGGAAGAGGGCTTCATGGAAGTGACATATGACATCTACAAGGAGGAGCAGAAGCCGTCTGTGTCTAAGACGGTGAGTGGAGTGGCAGCGTGGGGTGGTTAACTCAAAACCCGCAGCCCTGATGCCCTGAAGAGCCAAAGAATCTGCTGTGCGAGGGAGTACACTGCTCCAATGGCCGTGCTATTACAACAGTTTTCTGAGAGGGCGTTTTGTTTGCAGCCCTCATCGGCAAATTAATCTTTGGCTCGTGATTAAAAGTTGCACGATGGGTGTGTGTAATAGATTGTCACGAAAACATCAAAACATCGCTGTGTCAGCTGCATTCCCTGCTGTTGTGTCTTCTGCACGTGATGTTTATCCCTTTGATCTCCATTTTTTGATTCATTATGTTCCTGTGATATTGATTATTTGAGCAGGTCAGGAAGCTGGCTGCAGCTGTGAGCCGCAAGAGCAGTGCCAAGGCTGCTGCCCCAGAAGGAAAGGTCACTGCAAGGATAAAATACTACCCATTCTTGCGTCCGAACTCAGCAGATGAAGACGACGAGGAGGAGGAAGAAAAGCCCGCAGCCCGGCCCATGACTTTCAACAGGCTGAGCACGATGTCGGCGATCAGGGACAACATGAGGGTATGCTGTGCTGCCCCTTGGCTTGTGCTCCATGCGCTTTTGGCTTCAGTAGCATGAACTGGCAATTCTTACACTGTCTATGCAATAGCATAAATTATGTAATGCAGCCTGCAGTTCGCTCATCCACGTGTCGAAAGGAACATTATGGCTTGATGCACTGCCTGCATGTTGTTTGTTACTTGTATGGCACGCTGCTGTGTTCTTCTGCAGTATTGTGACTATCGCCTGGCATTTTTTTGGCATACAGTTTGTCACTTCTGTTCATCTCCTTTTGGGCAGAGGCATAAGTACCGGGGCTGCAAAATGAGCAATCAGTGTATCCTATTTCATATTGTTTATTTCAACGAAGACAGTCAGTGCAGGTGCAGGCTGCTGATGCGGCCTTATGCCCGGTCTATTAACCCAATGGGCCACTGCAATTCACTCCTGTTTGTAATCATCTATCAATAGTTTGACTGCAGATTTCAAGATGCAGCTGTTTCTTGTTGTTCCCTACTGCCTGCGTCTGCAAAGATTGCTCCCCTCAGTGCTTGCCTTCCTGAAAAGTATATTGTATATATGTCGTTGTACCCATTCTATTCTTTGTAATTTACGTCGACAGTTATTTTGTTTTCCCGGTGCTTTGTATTCACGCTTCTTTTGCCTGTTATTTTTGCGCAGGGCTTGCTTTCTGTCACCCTCACCCGCTGCATGCACCTTGCTGGTAGCAACACTTATGTGCACTTCTCCCTGCACGACAAGGTGACGCACAAGGTAACGGATCAGAGGTCCACTATTGTGCCCAACGACAGCAGCCCGCGTTGGGGCGACAAGTTCGACTTCGTCATGATCAACGCGCACTCGGATCTCGTGATCACCGTCATTGAACAAACAGGCTTCCTGGAGTCTGTTGTGTCTCTGAAAATAGCAAAGGTGGGGTTGAAGTTCTCCAAATGCAATGCTGCCCCATCGGGCGCTCACATCTGTGACCATGCTGTTGGCAGTGGCGTGTGAGTTGTCTTGCAGAATTCGTCAATCGGTTGCAGGCACCTACAAGGTAATAGAATTGAAAGGCAGAGTCACTACTTATGTCTGGCTGCCCATGATCTGCCTATTTGGGCTGACCTGTCTTGTGTGATTCAACCTGAAGTTTCGAACCATGTGGAAGTCCGCTCTGAGTATGGCCCAAGCACCTGCAAGGTGAAGTGATAGGGAGACAAGTCGGCAGGCCATCGAAACACGGATCTTCAGGTTTTGGTGAAGTGCCTGCATGCGTGTGCAGAATCGAAATGCAGCAGGGTCTTTCAGTGACCAGGTCGGTTGGGAAAGCTTCGGCTGTGGCTCTGTCTGAATCTAGTGCAGACAAGACATTTAATTAAGCCAAACGTTGAGTGCAGCGGCGACCCCTTGATGCAGCATGCGCATTTGTTGCCATTGTCGCGAACTCCGCCATTTGGGGTGCCAATGGTTGGCTTGTTTCGCAGAAAGCTGAGGAGAAGAACAAGGCCATCGGGAAGGTCCTCATCCCAGTGAAGGACGTGGTGCGCAATGGCCGCCTGAAGGACGTCTGGGCTCTGCAGGAGGTGCAGCAGGGGGAGATCGCGCTGACGCTCACATGGACAAGCGTGGAATTCGCCGCATGAGCGGCAGACCCGCCGCACTAATATGGCGTTTGATGGCAGGGGTTTTATTTTGCATAGCCCCGGCGGAACAGCCAGTGGTTGTGTCAATTGAGCGGGTGCATCGAATGCAGGAGCTTTGTATCGCGCAGCCCTGGCGAAACAGCCAATGGTTGCGTCAATTGAGCCGGTGCATCGATTAGGCAGGCAGGCAGGCTGCGGCGTTGAGTTGGCTGGTGACGGGGTAATTTTGTCAAGATCGAGGTTGGCGGCTGCCGGCTGCAGCGCCGGGCGTTGGAGAATGACGAAGATAGCCGGGTTGGGAGCAAAGAATGTAGCGCATCAAAGCGAACAAGCTGCTCAACAACTGTAATGATTCAAAGTGTTGAGGATTGCCGACGTCACGTGGGCGACCTTGCTTTCCCCAGCCCTCCAAGACACTCGCCGTAAGCCCACATCCAGTGCCGTTTTGTTGCTCTGGTGATGGGCAGAACGAGCTGTCCTGTTGTGCGCAGCCCATGTCAACGTTGGTGGCACATCAAGGTTTGTTGGCCAGTCGCACATTGCTGTTCACAGATGCAGAACAGCGAAGTTCTGCGCCGCATTTTGCCCTGTGTACCATACACAGTCGGAGGGATAATGGCGGCAAACAAGCAGTCGCCCCTGCACACCACTGAATGGTGTGCATCAGGCCGGCTGGTGTATCGCTGCCAACACGTGTTGAAGATCCAAGTCGAGCAAGCTTGTCAAGTGGACAGTGGCAAAAACGGCGCAGACGGCCCTGGCTCTCCACCCTTCTTCCTGACTTGGGTGGTGCAAATTCCGTATACAATGTGCACGATAATGATATTACCAAGCAAGTCGCACCACGAGTGTCAAGCACAAGCCGTAATTCAAATTGCCAAAAAGCACGTTTGAGGACTATTCGAAATAGCCCCGCTGTGAACATGAGCGAACCTACGATGCCTGCCCGTGCCAATTTTACTCTGCTCTGCAAGGAGACCTTTGGCCCCTACATCTTGCGGTTTTGATGAAGCCTTATTCGGTAGATTGGCTATTTCCCAACGTGATCCAAAAGCAAGGTCATCTCACCAATGCACCCCCCCTGAAATTCCCTATAGATTGTGCAAAACGGACAACCCAGTGACAGCCGATGCCCGTCGCCGGACGTCGCGCCCACATCAACGTCTTTTTCGATATCCCAATGCAAAACACTTCTTTCTTCGGCCCCTGCTAGCCAACTGGCGAGGACACTTCTTCTGACGTATTATCATCGATTATCGCTTCTTGGCGTCAGGAGTAAATAGATTTACAGACTTTGTTTGTGTCTGCACATGCATTAGATTTCAATGAACTGATCATTGAAGCCGCTTTGCTCCTCATTGCCTTGTTCTGTAAAAAGTGGTGACGATGAAAGCCAACACCAACCGTCCCCTGTCGCATTCTTCCAGGGCGCCACACAGGCGCTGCGCGCCCGCTCGGTGCAATGCAACACAAACACACACGCCACCCACCCGCCCACTCAGGCGGGCACTGCTTCTGGCGCCCCCTGGGCTCGCTGCCGCCCGCACAGTCGAGGCAGGGCTGACAGAGACTGACGGGGTCCCCGGGCCCACCAAATCGGCGCTGGCTTGAGTCTCCTCCCGAGACAGAGCCCCGGCACGCCCCCTTGCGAGAGTTACGAACCTCCGGGACAACAGCCCGCGCCCTCCTCGTCCCCCCGGCCTCGCAATGGCTTCCTTCAGCGACGCGCCCGCGGGCAACGCGGAGAAGGGCGCGAAGATATTCAAGACGAAGTGCGCGCAGTGCCACGTGGCGGAGGCCGGCGGCGCCCACAAGCTGGTGGGTGGGGTCGGCGACGGCGACGGAAAGTCCGTCGCCGGTTCGTCGCGCGGGGGCGGCGACTGACGGGCGTCGGGCGCGCAGGGGCCCAACCTCGGCGGCCTGTTCGGGCGGGTGTCCGGGACGGCGCCCGGGTTCTCCTACTCCAAGGCCAACAAGGACAAGGCGGTGGCCTGGAGCGAGGAGACGCTGTACGACTACCTGCTGGACCCCAAGAAGTACATCCCAGGTGCGGGGAGGAGGCCCGGACGGAAGGCGTCCAGACGCAGGCGCGACGGAAGGCGTTCGCGGGCTGCCGGTGGTGCTACGTTGACGGCCCCACGGGTGGTCGAATTGCTCTTGGATTTGCGGGCTGCAGAGTCTGCGTCCCCAAGAACCCAAGAACTGTTCGGCAAGTCAGTGCGGAATGATCAGCCTGCAGCGAGTTGGGGCATTGGTCGCGGCTTTCGTCCCGAGGGCGAAGTTCGGCCTGTGGCGTTTCCTGTGGAGCAAAGGACGGGATTAATGTCTCGGCCTCCCGTTGTAGTCGCGCTCCGTCACCAATCATCATCATCATCATCATCATCCATTCTTACATAACAAGGCAATTAGGTCACAGTGAACGCCCTATTTTGGGTCTATGATCAGTTCATTGGAACCTAAGGTTTAACACAAACAATGCCCATTACGAATCCATTAACTCTCCATGGCAAGAAGCGATTCCGTTACCAATCTCTCCTTCGGACCAGAGGCTCTGGGTCTTCTGATTGGTGATGCCGTTAGTTTCGCCCGGAACTGCTCTAGCCTGCCGATTGGTTTGTCTACCTCTTTAGGAAGTGAGACGGGAGGGAGCGTTGTCGTTGCGAGTCTGTGTAGAGTTTACTGGCAGGGGTGGGTGGCCCCATGAGAACTCGCCGACAGCTCGCACGTGTTATGCTGGTGACTCTATCCGCTCACATTCTGCACAAGGCTACTTGGCCAGCCACGTTCGGCACGGCTTCCAATTGAAGCGAAATGGACACCGGGATGGGTAACGCTCGCCAATAACGGCAAATATTCAATGCCAAAATCCTGGTTTCAGGTACGGGTCAATCGTTGTTGACGATAGAAGTGTACACCTTCGACAATGATAAAACGACAATGACAAAACTAACCGGAACAGGTGCGCTCCTTAAAACGGATTGATATGCACACAATGCTACAATTTGCTTTGCCGAACTGGCCTGAAAGGCATTGTATTCCATTGATCGCGTAGTCCCCTGTGGCGTGCGTGGCCGGCGAATAATACCAGGGAAGCAGTACGCTGTCGCCTGTCAATCCAGGAGAAAGTCACAGCTCGTTCCCCGCGATGCAGGCACGAAGATGGTGTTTGCAGGCATGAAGAAGCCCCAGGAGAGGGCAGACCTCATAGCCTTCCTCAAAAATTCAACGGCCTGAGGCAGGCCGAAGGCGTGCGCTGTGGAGCTCCCCGTGAAATTCAGACCACGTTGCCTCAGCGTGGCAGACAAGGCATTCATAAACTTGGGATGAATGCGGCGCTGAAGTTGCTCGTGCACCAGACCAACGATCAGACCGGTGTGCCTGTCGGAGGGTGATGTTCCCTTGGATCGACGGGCACCTCGCACAAGGGGTAGTAATTGCGTATGCTCAGGACATTGGCGGATGCCGGGATGGAAACATCTCACAGTCGTGCCGCAAAAATTGTTCAAAACTTGGCTTACAAAACTTCTATGCTGCCAGCTTCTTGTCACCCTTCCGGTCCCTTCAGGGACTGGGCATTAAAGTCGAATTCCTTCTTGATCTTGTCGAGGAGGCTGCCCGACTGACCAGCGTCGTCTTTCACCACGATCTCCTCTATTCGCTTGTACGAGGGCTGCTCCGTCTCGACTGCGACGCAGTTTGCAGAGCCTGCACCTGACCCGACGCACACCTGCCAATCTCCGGGGTAGCAACGCAGCAGCCTGTGAACGGCAACGGGCAGTCAGGCTCAATCAGGAGGTTTGGCGAAACTCTCTGGTCGAAAGCCCGCTGGCACGAAAGAACACTACTCCCGGATGCGAGGTTCGCACCTCGGGGGCGCAGGCCACTGCAACTACCTTGGAACTTAGTGACCACCAGGGCGCAAAGCCCACAGTCGTTGATGCTGTGATACTGCTCTCCAAAGGCAACAGAAAATCGACGGATGCCATGGGCCTTGGCAACCGCCACCCTGGGAAAGGCCACGGCATACGAAATAACGGGAGCTCAAGAGTCTGTTTCCTTTGGTTGGGTGCTCACATGAAGGATGAAGCAGATTTTAAGAAAACCTGATATTGATAGGTTCAGCAGGAACAGAGGTTCTCCTAGTGCCGGTGTCTCTGGGGAGGCACATGTTTAGCGACAGAAGACGGGAAGCTCATAGGCGTCCAATTCTTTTCCGCGTGGCCCTTCTCAATGCTGCCAACTCGCTGTATGGGTGATGAACGGCAGAAGCAACAGTGTCGCAGTCAGTGGTGACGCTCCCATTGCGATTGAGACGAAAAGCGACAACGCTCACAAGCACGGTCGCTCCAGCGGTGGGAAGCCAAGCACTAACAAGGTGCATTACAGGACAAGCACGCCAATCAAATAGCACTCATCTTGAGTATACTCAGTAACCAGCGTATCTCCATATTCATTTCGCCATATTTAATACCATGTTCACCATGTCCAGCCACCCCATATTTGGCACCATTTCTTTACAACCACATGTCTATTTCCTCGCCCTCATATTGATTTTCGCCTTGCCACGTTGTACATGCAGGAATTGTCATGGAAGCACTAGTGTGCACGCTGGGACTTATCTTGGCTGCCAGTCGTACCTACTCACGCAAAGTTCATGGAGTTGATGTAACAATCGTGCCGATCACTTACTTTCATCGTCTTTTAATCAATTTTCCACAGCTCGTAATCCTGCTGTGCAGGGGTCTTACTCTCAACTTTTGATGCCCAGCACTGGATGCCACATCTTTTGCTTGGAGTGAGGAACGGACAGAGAACGAACAAAGAACTCACCTGACATCTTTCCCCTGTATCCTGTACTGCCTCAGGCAATACGACTGTGTGAAGGACGCCACAAAATCTTCCTTTTCCTTTCTTCCAAACAGCCCGAAATCCGAAATCACCTGCCCACCTCTCCATTCAGGGTTAATCATCAGTACAAGCTTCTTTCCCTCAAAGCGCCGCTTTAGCTGGGGAGCACAAGCACCAAAGAGAAGTAAGCCAATAGCCATCATATTGCGCCCTGGGCAGCACTCAACTCTTTGGTAGAGAGCATTGGCAAACATGCCCAGCAGTGCACAAACACTGGTCAGGTGGTAGTGGCTGTACTACATTTTGCAGGACTGCAATGTTAGACAGCTCATTCAACGACACTCAGCTGGTGTCAGGAACACACAGTTTGTGGCACTGCAGTTGGTAGAGGACCACGAAATGGGGTGAGTGTTTGGACATTTGGCTGACTGGGAGCAGAAACAACGCAGTTGTAGATACATGACCGATTGTACTGCACAGGACCCATCAACCGCCAACAATAAAGTTGACACAGACAGAAGCAATGCTTCACACTGGTTGCTGCAAGGAACACACCAAAGCCATCTGTAGTTGCTGCAGGCAACCACACCACAGATAGAGTGCGATCGAATTCAATTGGCATCGGGGAAAACAGTGTCCATGGAAGGTGCTGAAGACTTTCTTTCCATCGGGAGTGAAACGTGTCCTGCAATTGGCGTTCCCCTCGTGATCTGGAACTTTTGATGATGGCACCAAAAGTACGCCAACAGTACTGCATTTGTGGTCTCCAGTGCTGCGAGCATGTGAGCCACAAGGTACAAGTTGAAGGGGTCTACAAACCTCTATCAAAATATCTGCAGTTGGGAACAATACAGCTGCCAGGTTCTGTCCAGTCCAAGCCGCCACGCAGTCAGCATCGTCCAGTATTTCCGCATCCAGCCGACCTTCCAGTCCCCCAACCCTGCGTAGGCCATTAAGGATTCCCTCCGCCATGGGCGCAGCTGCCTGCAACTGTTGCCTGATTCCACCTGGCCTCAAGCACACAACACCAGAAACGTTTCACAATGGTTCCTGCAGCAGCTGTGACAGCAATCACTGTCACCTCACATATGCCCTTATTTTTCCATGCTTTCCTTTTTTTGACCCCCCAAAATCACAACGCATTTAGGAGTCCAGGTGCAAACCCGATCCAACACCAAAGAGATGACGGCCCTGCGTCACGCAGGAAGGCAGTGCTTGTAGATAGAAACATTCATCCTGGCTGCGAGCGACCCTGCATTCGGCGCAGATCCTTTACCAGCTGTGGCCCCAGCCACAACAAGCCGACAAATAGGGAAATGATTGAGTGCTTGCGGGCATCCGCGCACTTCGAGTCCGCCGCTCATCCGGAATCGCCACTTCCGCACAGCACCCATTTGACCCATGCTCGCCTTCCGACGTTCCAATCCCTAGCGCGGACACCCACAGGCCGCGTACCAGTCGTCCAGATCGGTGGCCCCAATCAAAGGTAGCGGCATCTCGACCAGCTGGCGGCCCACCCCGTCCTGAAAGGCGGAACGACTGGCCTGCAGGGCCTGCTGCACGGTCTCCTCCGGGCTTCTGGGCAATGGCTTTGCGGACTCCAATCGGGCACCGCTGCACCAAGCCACGGACAAGCCAGCTGTCAGCCGATCCCGTCCGAACGCACCGCACTCCGGTGGACTGCTGGGAGGATCGAAATGCGTACAGCTGCTTCTAACGCCCTCGCAGCGCATCCATTCAAAGCGTGGGTGCAGGGATCCCCAAACCGATTTGCGATCAAACGCTCCGTGTGGCGGACTGCCGAAAGCTGAGCCGCGGCAAGCACATTACGATGTAGCCGCAGGGGCGTCGGTAAGCGCCACTCACGCCTCTTCACCGCCGTCGATCGGGGCGCTGCAAGGAGCGGGCGCTGGCAGGCGCGATCGCGTCGCTGGCCCGCTGGCAGCCCATCTCTTCCAGCGGTGCTCGCGCCCGGGGATCCTCCCGCGGCACGATCCTCCAGGGCAGGCCGGCCTCTGGAGGGGTGAGGCGGCCGCTCGCGGCGGAGGCCTACTCCCCGCCGCGGACTCCGCCATCGTCGTAGGCAGAGCCGGTGCTACAGGCTGCACTGGCAATTGGCCAGCCAACCAAGACCAGAGGTTCATTGCTGGGCGTCGTGTTTGTACTTTGAAGTGACTTGTACTTTACGTGGAAGTGTAATCGACCGAAATGGGGAATGGAGTGGAGCTTGAACTCTGCTCTCCCAAACCCCAAACCCCAAAAACCTCCACGTCGCTGCCGCGGCTTCGGTGGTAGAGCCAGGGACGTGTTGGGGCCCTCCGTGCTGCGGTGTGGGCGGTGTTGGCCCCACGCGACGCCGTCGACCTGCGACGGTGGCGGAGCGCCCCTCTACGGCGCCGCCCTGCTCAGCGGGAGCCCGTCGGCCGCCCGCCGCTGGCGCATCTCTCCCCGCTACTCTCCGCAGCCCTTCTGGCGCCACCCAGCCAGGGTTCCCAATCCCGGCTATCCCCGCCTCCCCTCCTCTACAAGACATTTGAATGACCCCTCTCGTGCCCGTCTCTTCGCCGGCCACTGCCTCAGGTGGCCCATGCGGATGCCCCCACGTGGACGTGGTTTCCCTACCAGGCCCGAAGTGGGCATCGGGGGCTTGCTGCCGGGAGAAGAGGGAATGGCGTTCGGCATCTCAGAACCGCACGCCGACCCTCTGCCGATCATTCAGTGACGGAGTCGGCGAGACGCCTAATTCGGTCCAGCAGCCCGATTTCAGGGTCCCCACCCGCCTCCTGGGCGCGGGCAACGGGATGCATGGGGAGGGGCCGGTGACCTACACCGTGACGCTGTCCACTTCCCTGGACCGCGGCGCCTCGCTGTCCGACCCCCTCTCCGGCGTGTGGCTGTGCCTCATGTCGGAGACAGCCGCGCTGCTCCACCGCTTAGCGCCGGTGGCCGACCCGCATTACTCCGCTCGCCCTTCGTCCTCAGATGCCGATCGAGCGCAGGCGCCGGCGGGCCGGCGCTTCCAGCAGGGTGCCGCGGACGAGTTGCGCTTCTCCGGCCCCGACCTGGGCGGACCCATCACGGCTGCAATCGTGGGCGCGGAGTCTGGCACCTGGACGCCCAGCGGCATGACCGTGGCATCATCATCATCGCCTGAAAAGGTCAGGCTGGCGTTCGGCCCCGCGAAGGGAGACTCCGGCGGCGCGCTCCTGGCCACGCCGATCCCCGCGGATGCCGTGGTCTACGGCGAGGGCCCCGGGGCGGTGGTCCTGACGCCCGCCCAGGCGGAGGGCGTCCGGATCGCCAACCTAGCCGACTACGAAGCCATGAAGGGCCGCATCTTGGCGCTGAATGCGGCGCTGGCGGCGGCGGGCGCGGCGGCGGCCGGCATCTGGGTGGGGTGGCCCGCGGGCGCGATCTTCGCCGTCGGGGGAGGTTCGGGACTGCTGTACCAGTCGCTGCTGCAGCGCGGCGTGGACGCCGTGGGCAAGGGGCCCAGCGGCGGGCTGGCCGGCACCCGGGACGGGTCGGATTCCGTGACCTCCAGGGGGTGGTCCGAGATTGTGCTGGCGAGCCGGTGGTTTCGGTACGCGGCGCTGGGCGGCGCGGCGGCCGCCCTGGCGTGGGCAATCGGCGCCATCGGGGACGTCGGGCCCGACGTCCGTGAGGGCGGGGGCCGGGAGGGCGTGGGGCGGATGCTGCTGTTCTTCGCGGGATTTTGGACGCACAAGGCGGCGGTGGTGGGCGTGGGGATGCTGCCCAACGACAGGAACGAGCGCCGGGCGCTCCGTCTCTGAAGCGGAAGCGGGAGGCGTTGCGTTTTGGGCGCTAGGGGAGTCGGGACGCGCAAGGGGTAAGATTTGTACCGAAGGGAGAAAGAAACGGGTCGTGGAAAGGGGACCCCTTCCTTAGCGAGCGTGTGCGGGACAGTCGGGGCGGGGAGCGGAGGAACGGCAGCTCGTGGGAGACCGTCTTGAGGCAAGAGAGCAGAGCGCAGGAGAGCTCACCGCTGTTGATGAAGACGAAGAAAGGATGTGTTGGAGATGGGATGGGAGCGAGGGGATACGGGGCATGGACGCAGAGGTCGTGGTGCCCCTGGGGAGGCGACTTTTTGGCGTCTTTGGTGGCGTTGAAGCGAGTACAGACGCCAAACCCGCTTGGTTCCAGGTGGTCGAGGGCAGCGGCCAGTGGGTTGCAGATCACACAACAGGAGTCCAACACACCTCTCCCGCAAGCCTCCCGCAAGCCAGCCGCCGGCTGGAAACATACAAGACATGACAAGGCCGACGAGGTTTCTCCCCAGCAGCAAATTTCATACCTGCAAAACTGGAAAAGGTGCCCTGTGGGCCCCAAGAGAGCTTGGCAAGCGTTCATGGTGAAGCGACTCTGCCGATGTGAAGGTCATTCCGTAGGAAACATGTCTGCAGGAGTAGGGGAAGGGGTGTGTGGCCAGTGATTGGAATTCCGAAATTGGGAATGCAGATATGCCAGTGGGGAACGCCACGCATTCGCTACTTTTCATCCTTGTAAGCACTAAGGGCAGTGCTGCACCGACAAGGGCTTGGGAGGGGGACTAGAGGTACAGAACCTGGACTCCAGGTCATCGCTGGCTGCATGAGAATGGAAAACATGATTCCAACAAGAGACAGCAAACCTCCTGGCCTCACAGCACCCTTGGACTCTGCATGAATATTGCTCAACTGAGAGTGTTACAACAATACCGCATACTCTACACATACCCGTTTTCAATTCAATGACCATCAGTGGGGTGCACAACAGCACCAAGACCCAAGGCCACAGAAAGGGCCTGGTGATAAGTGCGGTGGCCACTCAGCCAAGCAGCGCCACTTTCCCAGCTTGACAACAACTGCATACCCCTCCCAACTTCCAGTTCGTGTGCTTGGTCTTGGATCAACGGCAGTTCAAGCAAGCCATGGTTATGCCATGCACCTGGTGGTCATGGTCCTTCACAACGATCTGCAGACTTGTCAGATCCTCTCTGCCACTCTCAAAAGGACTTGGGCTGTAGCAACCCCACCGTTGCCCACTCACTGCGCATTTGAATGCCTGCTGCAAGCCCAAAGCCTTGCATTGAGAATATGTGGCGATCTGACTGGAGCCTCCCACCTATTCAGGCAGATGATGCCTCATTTTCGCAAATGGATCGGCTGAGCGTCCCAAAGCGCATGCCACACCCATCTGCCTGTGCTTAACCAGTCAACCCTTCTTTCTTCCTCTTTTTCTGGAGGCGCTTTAAGCATTTAAGTCGGTCAGACCTCGGGAGGCCTTGACATTCTGCTCCGGGGACCTCCTAAGGACCAGCAACAAAAGCATGGTCAATTCAGCAATCAAGAGGATTCAGTCATGCAACACTTTCCAAGAGGCAGATGGAACACTTTCACGAGGGCCACCGCCATAAAGAAACACTCCCTCTCGGGCACAACTGGGTTTTGTGCTGCCTGAAGTTAACAAGCAAGGTGGCCTGGACACAAGGACAAATATCCACAGTGGCGGGGTGACTGGGGTGGCAGGACTGGTGGTAACAGGACTGGCATTCGATTCCCAAGGCAGAGATTGCCTGGGTCCTTCCGAAACCCCACAAAGCGCAACCCATATCTCCTTGTTTGCAAAATCATAATGACAGAAAAAATGACAGAAAAGTAAGAATGAAATACTGGATTCCATCAACAATGTCCACACAACAATTCCGCTCCAAGCCCCTCACAGCCATGAAGGATTCAATCCAACCACTGTACTGCCAGGCTGCCCGACCACCCCCTCAACTCACCAGGTCCAGTGGCTGCCCCCCCAGCAGCACCCTCAATTCGTTGTTCTCCTCGTGGTCCTGGCAGGCGCCCGGGAAGCAGGGGATTGTGTACAGGCCGCCCTCCATGCACCCGCACACTTCCTGCCACGGCCTCTTCCCCTTGGCATCCTTGATCTCCCTGGACTCCTCCGCGCCGTGCTCCAGCAACCACTTGACGGCCCCGAAGTTGCCCGTCCAGGCCGCATACTCGAGCGGCGTGTCCCCGGCGTTGTCCACGGCGTTCAGGTCCGCGCCGGCGTCCAGCAGGGCCTCGCACACGGGCTCCCACTCCCCCGAGTGGATGGCAACGTGCACGGGCAGCACACCGCTGTAGTCCGCAATCGAGACGTTCACGCCCCGGAGTATGAGCTCCTCGGTGATGTCCACCCAGCCGCTCCACGCCGCGATATTCAGCGGCGTCCAGCCCTTGAGCGCCGTCTGCGCGTCCATGTCCGCGCCGTTCTTCAGCAGTACCTGCACCACCTCCAGGTGGTTTCTGTCCACGGCCCAGTGCAGGGGGGAGAAGCCCTGTGCGCTCATCTGCGACACATTCGCCCCCACCTCCAGCAGGACCACCACGACCGCGGTCTCGCCCATCAGGGATGCCTCCGACAGGGGCGTGAAGCCCTTGATGGAGGCCGCGTTGACGTCGGCGCCGCCCTGGATCAGGAGCCTGACGACGGGCAGGTGGCCGTTGGTGGCGGCCAACAGGAGCGGCGTGAAGCCGTCGCCGTCGCGGAACTCGACGTCCGCGGCGCCAGAGGCCAGCAGCCGGTTGACGGCATTGTGGTCGCCGTCGCGCGCAGCGAGGAGGAGGTCCTGGTGCAAAGGTAGAGGGCTGAGGTGAGGCCGCGGCGGCAAAGAGCGTGGAAGGGGAGCGCGAGGCTGGCCACCTTGCCTGGGAGACGTCAGTCCTCAACCCGTTCTCAAAGAGCTGCTGCGGTGTAGTTGAGTCATTCGCTGACTCGTTCATCGGTAAACCACTTCCATGCTTCGCCTTACGCGTTTAGGCAAAGCAACGTTTTGCCCTCTGTTGAGCAACTGAAATAGCACACCGACGCCCTTCCCGACAAATCCCGAGCGAAAATTGAAGCGAGCCAAAACTTCCGACACACCAGCTCTAGAACTGCTCTGGCAACGGTCTATAAGTTGCGCCCACGGCTCATTTAGCAGACAGCATGTAAAGGGCGCACGCCCCACGAGAAAATGGGTTGGCAACAGCGACAATGGTTGCGATACAGATGGCAGAGTACGCCTGGGGATAAACGCTAG